AAAAAAACTTATTAAACCAAGAAAATTGAAAAAAAAAACTAAAAAATCGATTAAACTAATTAAAATTAAAAAAAAATGGTTTCGAAACTTAGCCAAATCAGTTTTTTATAAGAAAAAACCAAACCAAACCGAACTCAAATAGAAAAAAAAAATCAAGTTAAACTAGAAATATCAAGTCAAAACTTAGCCAAACTGGTTTTTTCTAAAAAATCAAACCGAATTGAATCGAAACTTATCAGTTTGAATTAATTTTTTTTTTAATTTCAGTTTAGTTATTTTTTTAATAAAAATCAAACCAAACCGAAAATGATAACTCATAATATAAACAAATAATTCTTTTATGTGAATTCTAAAATGAAATAAATACAAATACATGATCTATATTAATGATATTTCAAATCTTAATATTAATTTAAATATTTTATTATTATTATTTAAACTACAAAAAATACTATATATGTTAGATTGACGTGCTTTATAATCAAATAATACAACAATAAATTTATTCACTAGACAATATTGTAGTTTATCACCTAATAGTTTATTATTTTACTTTATACCACAATAAACAAAATACAAAATCTATACACAACGATAAAGAGCGTATCATAGGCGGGCCGACCTCCCTCTAGCTCTCCCTCCCTCCTCCCTTGCGCGCGCTATATATATAGGGGCGGCTTCACTTTATTTCAGAATTCAAAAGGGGTCTGTTATGTTGTCGTCCAACTGTACAGATCTAGAAAGGGTGAGTAAATGCAATACAAATTACAAAATATCACAACACGCGCGCGCAGAAGCAGCTATGATGTATATAATGCTCCTGTCTTTGGTTTTTGATGAGCAGCAACATCATTACTGCTGTAGATTTTGGATTCCTAGCTTGCCTTGCAATGGAAATTATCGAACATGGCTTTTTTAGTGAATTAGATCATCAAGCACACCTATCAATGGGACAGGCAGGAGGAGAATACTTGGTCAATCTCAGTCTGTCGAGAGCAATGATAAGGCAATCAACAGTGGCCAAATCAATCAATCAAGCATTGTGAGCAACATGGATGATGGCATTCGAGCGCTTGAAATCCAGCCAGAGGTGTTTAGCAGGAGACCAGCAAAATTTCCTGCTCACCTTCGTGGAAATATTGAAACCTAATTAGCATCGTGAATTGTTGCGCACTGAATTTCTCCTTAGGATTCATGTATTGTCTCGATTTACCTCCATCATCCGTTTCGAGTTTCTTTCATAGCTTCATCCGTTTTACCTTTCCATCAATCTTGGTGATAAACTACTTAAAAAGACCCAGTATTTTATAGTGACGTGGAGGTGAACACAAAGTGAGTTGTTACAGCCTCCGTGTGAGTTAATCTCGCCTGATTTAGAGGTGGGTTTCTATAGCTTTTATGGCAATATTCGATCTATCAATGGAGTTAGCGGCACTTTCCCTCCAAGGGTAGCATTGTGTATTCCGCTCCTTAAGAGCCTGTCTGTACCTCTTCTAAGAGTTGACTAATTTTTTTTTTTTGTTTTAGAATCCTTGAAGGGGATTGATTTAAACGGAATTTAATTGCTAAAAAAGACTAAAAATAAATTACACGAGAGACGCTGTGATTTGCAACGATAATTCTTTTAAATTGACAGTAAAATAATATTTTAAAAATACGTTAACAGCACAAATTCTATTTTTTATAAAAAAAAAAAACTCATTGTCTCCTTTCTGTTCTATGAAATTATTGCACTGCAATGAATTGTGCAATATCATGTTATGTTGCCACAGACCTCTTGCATAGATGACTTTCCCACCAATTAATTGAATATCCCAAGACCCGTAACATGCAAATCCATTTCCTTCCTGAAAGAAATAAAGCCATTTGACATAACCAATGAACTGCTCCCTCCTCATCTCGTCATCTTCTGGAAATTTAGCGCAAAATGCAAAGCATTGCTTTAAATGTGGTGATAGATTATTGTAATTCAAAATCCAAGTAGGTTCTCGCTTCTTCTCTTGGATCCCAAATCTCAATTCCTTCTATAGATATCCATTCATCTTCACTTCTCTTAGTTTGTCAAGGACCATCAAAAGTAATTACAGTATGCATCTCACACTTGTATTTAACAAACATTAGGGGATTTTATTTTTTTTCGTTGAGTTTTCCTTGGCCTATATCGTATCTGTGAGTTTTTATCGAGTGGAGTTCTTGAAGACGTGCCTGGCTCAAGGGTCTCTGCCCCAGTATCGAGTGATAACTGCCCAAAATCTAACAAGAAGACAGGCCCAGAAACTCCTGCCCCAGCTTCTGAATCACCCCTCCAAGACAAGGAACTTGCCCCAGCAAAGAGCCTTTCATTTGATGAATCATTCTCTTCTCAGCATGAGCCACGCACAAAAGATCCACGTTGCAGTGCTGGCTCCCCGGCATAGAGCCCTCGAGCTGAGAGGTCAATACTACTTCGTTGTTTCTTTCCTTCAGGATTCGAAGGATAATAAATAGCGTTATGCCATTCCCAATCCCCCTCCTTAATCATGGAGGTGATTCTCCTTTTCGTTGCCCCTTAAAACAATATTTATTGGTTAATATACATGAAACTCAGTAATAACTGTCCTTTAAATTTTTTTATATAAAAAAAAATTAAAATAATATTTTTTATTTTTTAAAAAATTATTTTTAATATAATAAAAAAATTAAAAAAATGAAATCTAATGAAACTCCCTGTCATTCCGAACAGCCTCAGGAAGAGGTCAAGGAACCAAACAATGGAATGGATAATATGGAAAAGGTCACGTGCATAGTTGTTAAGACAGGCCAAGGCCCAAGCCCTAACGTTAGGCTAAATGGAGGAAAGCAAAGGGTTGAGGCCTGTCATACCAATCTTTTCTTTTCTTTTTATATTTTCGGTGAGAGTAGCGAGAGGATTAACGAAGGAACATAACTGGGTGGCCCTAATTTTATTTTATTTTTAAATTTTTTATTATTATTACTATGTATGATTGTACCGTTGATGATCATAACTTAATTAATTTTAAAGACTTTGAAATTAATAATTATTCAAATTTCTAATGATCTTAAAGAGATTTGAATTTATGATTATTAAAAAAATAAATTTAAAATCTAATTAATGCTTGATTTATAGTTGACATGGAAGAAAATATTGGTTGCAGTTTGTAGCGCAAGGGTTAGCAGCTATAAATTTTTGGTTTTTTATTCAATTAAGATAGAGTAAACGATAAGTGTAATTCAAATAATTTTTCTATTTTTAAAAACTCCGTGTAATAGCTGCAAAAAAGAAATGCCCGATAAAGGACAAGTCTGCTCTTGCCTGCCAGACACAGTAGTGGCTCTACTTGGGAATCACGTCTTTGTTGCTGCGTGTATAATAAAGAGTCGCCCTTGAAATGTCTCCTTTTTTGCTTGACATTGAAGCAAATGCCTCACCTTCCCATCTAGAAATTTACTTTACTAAAGTCGCTATTAGAATTATTTTTCACAGATTTAGAAGCCCAGCAGGCGACTTTCACCAACCAAAACTCACTGCCTGGCAGCGCCTGCCTAACTATGAGTGGCCTTCCTCAACTCATCGGTCAACACATGCTTGGTCAGAGTCAAAACTAGTAGGCCACCTCTCTCTCTCTCTCTCTCACTCGTCTCTAACAGCCATTATACCGTTCCTGGCTGAGTTATTATTATGGTATCAAAAATCAAGGTGTTGTAATTAACAGCTAGTATTTGCGTTAAACAGACTAAATCCATGCTTAATTTAATACAAACTGACAATGGTCCCCCGCTTCAAGAACAGTTAAGCCACATTGCTTTGCCTTGGAGTCTTTCGTGGGTCAATAATCTCTTCCATCCTTTTAGAATTGTGCAAAGTGTCACTAGTCGAGCCTTCTCTTAATTTGTCAAGAAATCATATAATTTGTGGCCCCCTTCCCCAAAAGTATTTACCATCAAGTTCCCTGTCTCAAGCCAGTACTCTTGTCTGCAATTGCAACAGTAACCTAGCCTCATTATGTTTGGCCAAAATAGTAAGAGGAGAGAACAGCTAAGCTACTCTTCAATGTCCACGGGCCCCAGCTTGGCTTAGTTGCAATATCAAGCTCTTATGCTGCTCAAAAAGTTTCATGATCTTGATTTTGTTCTTTCTTTTTCTTGGCTACATGGAAAAACAGAAGTTACTCTGCCCAGTGTCAACACCACTTCCATATTGCTTTGGCTGCTCAAGCTTCTCCCTTCATGACATCAGATCCGAATGCATGTCTTGTAAACCACCTTAAAATGTTTGATGGAACCTCATGACAAAGGAAGGGAACATGTGAATACATGACAGTGGATAAAGCTTTGATTTAATGCATGGAAACTAGACTATTGAGATACTGTGGATATGTCGATCGCTCATCTAGTAAAGATTCGACAAGTTTTACGTCCTGCTGTGGAGCTACTAAAATAGGGGGAGGGAGACAGGGACAGAATAATTATCTTACTTTAGGATCTTTTGGTTGTTGTTCGATCTGTTTAAGCTTTCAACATTATTGCCTCTCCTCGATAATAGAACAGAGGAGGGCCCCAGACTGCCAGAAATAATTTTTTGTGAATAATCAAATCACAGAACATGTATAACACCTAAAAGATTACTCCTGTGTTTATTAGCTGTCTGAAATTCATCAGAGCTGTCCAAATCTTACGTGGAAGCCTGTCAAGAATTGGCATGCAGATAGATATGATATCTACCCTCTCCAATGATACCAGAAACCCATCCCATGTTCAGTAAATAACACATCATACCTGCATAAGCCAAGCTCTTTCAGAGGGTATCTTGGTCATTGAAATGCGCCCTCACATGGCTAGAGACTGACCTGGAAAAGTTTTCTCCCGAGATTAATTAACTGTGAAGAAATTTGAAAGGACTAGAATTCCCGTCAATTTTTTCCTTCTGTCTTCCTTTCCATGGATTTTTTAAAAATAAGACTGTGCAAAGGGTTCCGAATCGTATGCAAAATTATTATCCTGGCAATAAAAACCTTGTCTTTAGTTCTTCCCAGGGTGTCCAAGTGCTGCTACCCATATTCTAAACAACACCGTATAATCTGTCCGTTCAGACTGCTCACATAACTAAACAAAGGAGATCAAACGACACCATAAAGCAGGCACCTCCTTCCCTATATTTATCACAAATTCCATGCACCTCTTCATCCGAACCTCTCGACAGTCAACTCCACAAAACACCTCTCCACTGTCAACTCCACAAACTTCCTCGTTTTTCTCATTCTAAACGCAGAAAATGATCTCCCTAGAAACTGTTCAAGCAACATCTAGATCCATTGAACCTTCAAGCCCCCGTATTTCTTTCTCTGCTGATTTCCTTCATGACCAGAACTTCATTCCAATTAGTCCGAGCCCACAGGCTGAGAAAGATGGAGAAGCAGAGCGAGAAAAAGCTAGAAATGCAGACTTTGAGTTCCTTTCAAGCAAAATGAGCAGCCAGACCATGCTAACAGCAGATGAGCTTTTTTTCGAAGGGAGATTACTTCCCTTCTGGCAAATGCAGCATTCTGAGAAACTCAACAAAATTAGCCTCAAAACTAAAGAAGCTGAGGAAGGGGAAGGGCAGGGGATGAGCAAGGAAGAGCCAAGGGTTTGGTTTGTTGATGATGACCCATCTCCAAGGCCACCAAAGTGCACTGTTCTGTGGAAAGAGCTGCTAAGGCTAAAGAAGCAACGTGCTTCTTCTTTGTCCCCCTCTTCGTCTTCCTCTTCGACATCATCTACTTCTAGCTCTGCCCTTGCAGACATTGTTACTAAGGAAGAAGGGAAGCACGGTCCTGGAAATGGAGAGAAGCATGTGAAGAGGATAAGGAAAGGACTGGAGAGAACAAGATCAGCCAGTATCAGAATAAGGCCAATGATAAATGTCCCAATTTGCACACCGGTGAAGAGCAGTGCATTGCCGCCTTTGTTTCCCCTTAAGAAAGGGAGGCTAGAAAGGTGAAAGATTGGAAAGGGAAACAAAAAGTAGATCGAGTTTGTAAGAACCGTTGGGTCGTTCAGTCTTTACGTTCATCTCTTTTATCAGTCCATTCACTTCATTTCAAACTTCAATTTGTTCCCCTGCTTTTGTGTTCAGAGGACTCTTAATTATGATGGATACGGTGAATTATAATGAAAATGACGACAAAACGTATGGTTTGGACAAAATAGTATCTTCTTCCACTTTGTTTTTGCTTAGAAGACAATTAAGTACATTTCAGTTACTTACGGATAGGAACCTGAGAGGTGCCATGCCACCTGCAAAGATGCAGAACCTGAGAATAAGATATTGCGGAGTCATTTGCAGAGGGAAAGTTATTGATATAAGACGATCATTAACAGCAAACCATCAAACCTCGTCATTTTATAAGAACATGGGGACCAGGTGTTTCAAATTACACAAACTGGAAGGTAAGAAGAGAAAAAAATACAAGTATACAACAACGAATGAATTTTATAGGATCAGCTGTTTACGTGTACAGGTTGACAGCATAAGCCAACTGTGCCGAGTTAAAGAACAATCAGATTGACTTGGTATGGACAACCGACTGAAGTAAAAACAGATAAGACTGAAACTGGACCTGACAATGACAAAGCTTCTAGAAAAATTTCCAAGCCTAGCTAGACGCTGTAAATCTCTAAATAGAATAAATCAAGATTTAAACAAATGGTTAAAATCGGCTGCTCAGTAAATGCAGTCTTCCGCTTTTGCACTGGGTACATATACCGTGTTTTGCTCAAGAGGGTGGTGGGGCCAAGAACTGGTTTCCAGACGTCCTAATTAAAAGATAAAAATAAAAATGAATTAGCTTAAACTATTATTTGACAAATGGTTTTACATGTAAATAACTAATTATATAAAAAAACAACATCGTTTCATTCAAACTTACCTAAGGTTCAGCCCAGGTTTCAGAAGATTATTTGGAATTTGACCAGTCAGATTATTGTTCTGCAAGAATCTGAAAGACAAAAGCAACTAAGTCAGATGAATCGAGAATAAAAAAAGAATTACCACATAAGCAATTGAATAAAAAAACACTACAACGAAACGTTCAAATGTGTTGTCATTAATTTCATCAGCAGCAGATAAATTAAAACACGTCTGGGTTTCTAGCAAAAATGAAGAATAAGTCAACAACCCAGCTATAAAATGGCTAACCATCCAGATTTTTTTACCATGTAGGTTTTTAAGTTGAAAGACTTAGTAAACACGTAATGGGTAGTGACAGCAATGAAAGGCCATTGGACTAGATACCTTAAATCAGTAAATGCAACGTGAGTCTGATACCCAAACTTGTTGTAACCACTCTTAAATAGAGAAATTAAGGACGACAAAATATGTCGGATAGCAGTTCTTCCGATTCCATTTCAATCCAGCGCTTCTATCTAGAAACTTACAGGTCTATGAACTAAAAATAATTTTGGCAGGGATAATTCTTATCATACAGGCGCAAAAGCCATCTGCAATGAATCAGTGACAATGGCCCAAACATGGAAAAAGATTGGGCATCTTAACCTGGAAACTAAACCATGTACATCAACTCCTCAAAATGTTCTTACGTCTATTTCATTAACTACCATGCGAGAACATCAGTGTTGAGCTAAAAGTTGCTTGCACCGTATAAAATGTCTTAATTTGTATGAATATGATGTCCACCAAGTCAGAAATGGTCAATTACCAATCTCAAAGATGGGTGCTTCCGGATTCTACTCTGACATTTTAGTTACAAGTGTGATAATCTATGTGAATCCCACATTGGTACTTCTATTGCCTAGAAGAGATTGTGTGCTATGCAATTGGGGGAGGGTTGGAGTAAGCATGCAGATGCCACTACCTTATTATAAAAATCATGATGAGATAGAGCAACAAAGGTTCAATTTGTGTGCAATAACACAATTTTTAAATTGTTCAGTGAATGGTTCCACATTTCCAATAGCACCAAGTTCTAGATCTATGATTGAACGGTAAAGGATTTCCAAAAACTTAAATCATAGACTCTTGGATCGGGGTTCCATTTATTTAGCATAACAACTAAAAGCACATTAAAGGACAGGCTCCTAAGGTGTAAACAGCATTGACTGCAAATAAGTGGATAAAAATCCAAGCCATGAAAGCAACGTGTAACATGATAAGATGAGACTTGCATATGCTCTTGAGCTAAAAAGACTTACAGTTCTCGCAGACCCTTGATGTTTCCAAGTGACAAGGGGATCTCACCAGTGAATCGATTGTCTTCCAGATGCCTTTCCAAAATGAAAACAATGTCAGGTAAAGTCTTATTTGTGTTATATTTAACCAAAAACTGCAACCAAGTACCCTATTTTAAGCGGAACAGGGAAAAATAACAGGGGAAGGGAAAAGGGAGGGTAATCTTACAATGTCTCCAGCATCTTTAGTGAACTCAAATCAGGTATTGATCCTGATAAAGTGTTGTTCCCAAGCCAGCTGTTAAAAACAAGAGAGCGTCAATCTAGAAATCCCGGTTCAATTTCTGCTAATTGACGGTTAGTTTTGATAACCTACATGTCAGCCAATGCAGTCAATCTGGCAATACTTGGTGGGAGCGATCCTGAAAGACCCATGCCTGTCAGATTCCTAGATACAAAAAGAAAACAAAAGATAAATTGTTTGTCAAGGACTAAGGAGCAGTATGTAGACAGAGAAACACTCTCTCATGACCAAACCCAGCTTACAAAGTAACCACGCGAATCCGGGGGCCTTCAGAGCATGTAATTCCAGTCCATGAATACTGAAGCGGCATACAGGGATCACCGTACCAATCAAGAGGAACATTCTGGAGACTGCTTTTCAGTGCTTCCAGAACTATTACTGCACCAACAAATAAGAATTCTATATAACCAGTACTATCAACGCAAGTGACAAATTCAAAGCATCCAACCCCAATCTACCTAACTTGAAGTGTTAACTAAGCACCACTAGGACAAGAAAACAAACTGATTACACTACCCCAATAGAAAAGGCAGGTCCTTAGTAACCATACCATCTCTTGTAAGTGTTCTTTCTCCGAGTGCAATCAATTCAAACACCTCTCCACCATTAATCAATGGATCAACGCTCGAACCAGAAGCTGGACTCAAAGCAACCGTGGTAGGACCACTAAGAGGCCACTTGCTAGCAAAGACAGCAGCACCAGCTGGCGTCAAACTCAAATTCTTATAATACGGCACACCATTGATACTTACATCAATCATCCTCGATCCCCCTGTAGAGGAATTATGATCGTCTGCAAAGTATAAAGCAATATAGTACATTGAATTAGGAAGTGGCACAGGAGGCCACCTCAGTTCCCGAAGACTTGACCGGCCCATTGGAAATTCCGTTTGGAATATCTTCGAAGGAGGAAGATTCCAGATACCAGAAACAGACACGTTTTTGCTAGGTGGAATTACTGGTTCTCCAAATGGCTCCCAAACCCGGTCGAATTGATCATCAGGATATCTAATTGGAAAAAGAAAAAAAAGAGCAACTATTCAACATTTGTAAAGAAATAGAAATCATAAACAAGCCAATAAGCACGCAATTCAATAGCAGGCGTCGATGACTCACCGGATAACCTCATTGCGACCGAAACTGTGCCTGGCAACCAAGCTGAGCCCAACCTGTTTAAAATCAGTCGAATTATACAAGGAATTTCCCAAAATCACGAACTCCAAAGCCGAAATAAACGGGTCAGATTCCGTGTACGAATTAGCAGCAATACAGAAACTCATAGTCTTCCCTCGTGCCAAGAAAACACCTTCGTAGTAAGACGCCATGCCGTCACTGTAATCCCCTGTGGTATTCACCACGCTCCAGAGAGTTCCATCAACAATCTGATCAAAAACAGGAAGCGGATCATTGCCGTTGATTCCTCCGTAGAAGTAAGTTGACCTGATCATGTATTTTGCTCCGCGGAAAACCCTGACCACGTAGCAGAATTTGCGGTGGAGATTGTTTTGTAGAGGAAATGATCGGACCGTGGAGAGAGTGCGATCGAGGACTGGGATTGTTAGGTTCTTTGAGGTCCCACTGGTGATGTAGCCGGTGTCTGGGATCCATTGAAGACCGTTGATAGTTGAATTCGCAGTAGCACCGCAATCAATTAAAGTGCCTGAAAAAAAATGATAGAACAAAAAAGATTAGAGAAAGTGATTGAAAAAAAGGTGTAAGAAAGTGAGAGAAGTGAGGGGTTTGTTGTTACTTACGGGGAAGAGGCGGTGGCTGGGAGGAAGAGAGGTAGAGGACAGAAAAAAGAGAAATCAAGATGATGAGAGACGGAGGGGGCATGACGGAGAAATCCAAGTTTTAATTGTAACGAAATTGGAAATTCAGATAGAGAGAGAGAAGCTTGTTCTGTTTTTGTTTGAATGGGTTTGGTCTGGTTTGGTTTGTTGGATATGGTAGTGGTGGAGGTCATAGTGGAATGGGCATTGAATGGGTCGTTGGAGAGTCATAGGATGCAAGAAAGGAATAGGGAGGAGGAGGTGAAGAAGAGGGAAGGAATTTTGGTGACGCGGGAAATGGGAGGGCCAGGTCAAGCAGATACCAACACAGTTGTGTGACGCCTTTTGAGGCCGTTTGAGAGTATTGAAATGTTTTTTATTTAAAAAAAATATTAAAATAATTTTTTTATTTTTTAATGATTATTTTTGACATAATAAAAAAATTAAATTTTAATTTTAAAAAATAATTTTAAAATAAAAAATAAACATGGTGGAGTAAGAAATTGACTTTTTTATGTAAATTTACGAATCATTACGAGAACAGTTTTTATATAGCTTTGAGTGATATTTTATTTTTTTATTTAAAAATATAATATTTAAATTTATAACGCGTTAATTTGATAAAAGTTAAAAGTGTTGTTAATTGCATAGTTTTTAGATCCGATTCAGTTTAAAGTCTGTGTTTTGGATTTTGACCGAGTTATTAGATTTTAACTAGGTCACCATGTTGTTCAGGTCAATTCATTTTTTTAAATTAAAATGATATTATTTTTTTTAAAAAAATAAAGTTAATAAACTATAACCGAGTTTTTGACCGAGTT